TATATAATTTGGGTATATCTATAATCAAGAAGTCTAGTAGTAGTAACGTCTCTGTGTAGTAAACAACTGCCAAATCAAATAAAGAAAGTACACATTAATTATATTTAAAAAATTATTATTCTCAGTTTTCAAATTGAACTGGATGGATTATAAATAATACATAGAAATACATCAATAAATGTTCTTCTCATTTCAAGTAAAATGCTGGATTAAAAAATTAATTACATAACGAAATTCATTTTAGCAAAATTATTTTCACTGAATTGCCCTGCAGCTTTAAATTCAGTTCATTCAGGGTGAAGTGAAAAAGTCACAATATTGTATTTTTCTCATCTTCTAAAAAGAGAAATTAGTGTTGGAAGAATTCACTTATATGAGTCTGTCCAGTCAGAGTCTAATGACTCTGGTCTCTCTGGACATTTTTCTCTTTTGGAAATCATCCTATGATTTGACTTTCACAGCTCACACTTAAATAGTCCTGCTCTGCTCTCTATATCCTCGTCTCTCCCCCATGTGTCACGTGTGTGTGTACATCTCACTCAAGTCAGGAAACTTGTCAGAATGCCCATATTTGATTGGCTGAGCTGCATCACGTGATGTGATTCACAACGCATTGGGGTACATCCCAAGTCTCTTAATTGCATCCCCGTTTCCCTCACTTGGGTCCTTTCCTTGCGTCTTAGTCCCTCCCACCAGGAATGCATGGAGGGAACCATGCGAGGAGAGAGGAACGAAGAAATATGTTTTAAGAGACATGAGACGTCCTTTCCTCAGTTGCGTCGCGTGAAGCGACGTCTGTTTCTGATGACAGAGGATCAGCTGATCACAGCTGGATCAGCTGTCAGTCGGCTTTAACAGCTGGAGAGACTTTTGATAAGTTTGTGTCTGTTCATGTGATCACTGTACTTAATACTAGTAACTAATAATACTAATAACTAATAAAGACACAGTAATCACCACTGTAGAGGTGTTTCTCTCTGTAGTCTGTTAACAAACTGTGTCCTGTGTTCTGTTCATAAGCACAGGATCCATTTCTACCGGCGGAATGCGATCGTCTTATTTATGAATTATTTGCGTCTGTACGTTTTGAAATTCAGATTGTGACGTCGATATTAAATAACCCAGAATATGATTATTGTTTCTCTTAAATGATAAAACTTCTCAAACTTGACAATCAGGAATGAACAGCCTCACGTGACTGAATGAAATGATGATAAATGATGTAAAAAGTGTTTCGTCTCTCCAGCTCTCTCTGACTTTAATTGTTTCCATAATAAAAGTTCAGATCATGAAAACACAAATCTTTCTAATAATGAAGAAAGTTGTTTGTGGTCCTTTTGTTCAGTCTACAATGAACATTTATTTAAACCAGATGTTGAATCAGAAAACTAATCAAATATAAAGCTTGAGTTTAATCTGCGATCTGTCTTCACTGTTTATATGTTGAAAAAAATCTCATCAGTCTGATCGGCTGCAGCATCCAATCACATGACAGATGAACAGTGAGGGGGCGTGTCGGCCGTTAAAACACTTCCTGTAAGTCTGTTCTCGTGGGTCCTCGCTCATGGCTCCTCAGAGATCCCTCTTCCCTCCTCCATCCTCGATCCTCAGAGCTAAATAAGAGCTTTGGGACGGCCGTCAATATGGCGGAGCAGAACAACTTCCGGTTCAAGGAGGAGCGAGGAAATGAGAATTAAGAGACTTGGGATGTACCCTTGGTCGGTGTGTTTCCTGCACCACTGAACATGTGCCGTAAATGCTGGAATAATTCCGCTGCATAAAAAATGCCCTTCAAAATAAAATCACAACATTTTTTTTTTTTTGTCAGGCAAAGGCCTGTGCTGGTGCTGTGACTCAGCTGTGACTCAGCTTGTTGCAGGGTGAATCAGCTCGATACACCGTGACTGAAAACGGGTCCGCGACCCACTTTTGGGTCGCGACCCACCAGTTGAGAATCACTGGTTTAAATGATGTGAAAAAGGACGCCGGGTTAGCTAACGCTCATACTTCTCATGTGCTGAGTCTGAAAAGTGGATTTGATGCTGAAGTGACTTAATCTTGAGTTCTCTCCACTGACCAGCAGGGGGCGACTCCTCACTGACAGATACTAAAATGTTCCAAATGAGTGAAGAAGGTGAATCCTGGCCCGTTCATAGTGGAAGAAGTACTTTTAGTAAAAGTAGAAATACTACTGCGTAGAAATACTCTGTTACAAGTAAGAGTCCTGCATTTGAAAAAGTAAAGGTGCAAAATAATTAGTATTACAAATATTTAGAGGCCCCTTTATTACATATAATACTCCATATAATACATGATTAAATAACTATGCTTTGTATTATTGATTTGAATCTGCAGAGTAACTAGTAACTATATGGCTGTCAATAAATGTAGCGGAGTAAAAAGGAGGCTGGAATAATCACAGAACAGTACTTGAGTATATGTACTTAGTTACTTTCCACCACAGAGGGATGAATGACATTAATTCATTAACATGATTTTTACTGGTTTAACTGGTTTTGAGCGTTTTCTTTGTGATATGAAACACTTTGATCTGCAAGTCTTGCGTGTGTTTTTAAATATGAATTATATAATAATTATATAATATTACTGCAGCATGTAGTCAACCCACTGAGTGAACCAGGCCGCTGTTTAAAAATAGAACAAATAGGATTAATTGTATTTATTACATTTTACTGCTGTTATCATTTGCTGCCTGGAACCAGCCTGGTGTTTGGTGGGTAGATACGGCGGTCGCGTGATTCAGCAAAACACACACACACACACACACACACACACACACACACACACACACACACCACTGTGGCATGCTTGTTGCCATGGTAGTCAGAAAGGAAGGCTGCCGGTGCTGTGACTCAGCTTGTTGCCGGGTGAATCAGCTCGATACACCGTGACTCTGTTTTTATTATCAGCCGGTTGCTACAAAATAGAGTCATAAATATGAGCCGATGTGTTTGATGAAGTAGAAGTCAGTTACAATGTATATTTAAATATAATGGCCTTCTTATATATATATAACATTATTATTGGGTCAATGAACAGTGGTTTCCTGTCACTTCCACTGGATTCTGTTGGTGCTTTTAACAGTTAAAGACAAAAGTTTTAATGCTGTAAAATAAATAAATCTCACAATTTAACTCACATAGAACGTTCAATGGAAAAAGTACAAATAACATAAGGATGTAAGTCTGAGAGATGGAACTCCCTTACTCTGTCATAGCACCCCCAAACCACAAAATGTTGCTTTAGTTTACGTAAAATTTGATAATTGTCATAATTTCCAGGGAGGTTTTTCTTTCAGCCTAAATAATGTGCGAGGACATCTACAACAAATCTCAAGTCTCTTTAAATCGTCAACAAAAATACCAACAATTAGCACATTTACAGTTAGGAGCCCATGTTGGCTGAGGGGCCCCCAAAGGAGCCTCTTAGTTCCCTCCCGTGTTCGACTGACTAAAGTCCGACTACAGTCTGGGGTTTGCTTGAAAACAGACTAGTTTACACGACGTATCGTCCAACGTCTGAAGGAACGAATGTTTAAAACTGTTTCTAATGACGGTGAAATACTGTCAAACAGAACGAGAAAAACTGTGCAGACTTTTCACCGTCTCTCCTCCAAAAAGTGACTCACAGTTGTGTGAATAATGGAAACGAGACATTGAGAGGAAGTTTAAACATCACCTACTTCCTCACCTTCACACACGGCTAACTGTCTGTTTAAGAAAGGTATAAAAACTGTCCTGAAAACAAGCCCTCCAGACCTGAACACCAACCAAGGCTGCAAAGTTAAGTAAATATTCTTCTTTTTTTTTTGTAAGATTATATATATATTTTTTGGGCTTTATAGCAAATGTTCAGTGGGCCTGTAATGGTCCACAGGCCAGATGCTGGGAACCAACATGTATATATACATTATATATACATATACATTATACATTATAAATACATATACAGTATGTGTGTGTGTGTGTGTCACCTCCAGCTAAAAGTGTAAAGTTTGTTAATCCTTAACTCCGCCCCGCCGGACCGCCGCGTCCTCGTTCCACAACGAACCTCCTCCATCCAGAGACACGCAGCAGCATCAAGCGAAGCGAACTCAGCGCCAACCGGAAACTAGTAGGCCTTCAAAATAAAGGCATTGATTATTTCAGTTTATGAAAAGTAAGATTTGTTACATTTGCAGTTAAAAACAGCTACAGAAACACAAAATAAAAATATATTGTTATTAGTTTAGGTATCATTTAGTTTGATTAAATTAATCAAACAATTATAGCAGCAATACTGCAAAAATGAGAAAAAACGAGCCAATAATGTAAAGTTAATCATTAACAGGTTTTTAAAATGTCTTAAACAAAACATAAAACAATAAACATCACTAAATATAAACACAACTCCTCCAACCTAAATTCCACAACTTGTCATCACTACATACACAATATAAATGCCAACGTAGAAATTTGACTCAGTTTTTTCCGTTGCTCTCCATGTACATACACAAAAATACACAAATAAAAAAAAAGAACAACGTAACAAAGGCAAGCATAAACATCTAACTTCTACATATACATATAAAATATATACAAAAGTATATAAAACACAACAACAATGACAATAAAATTGAGAGAATAGTTTCAAATATATAAAATAAAAATAAACAAACATAACAGAGATAAATAATATCACAGTGCAGGAAGAGGTAAAAAGCCAACTGGGCTTATATGAAGCCTCCACCTATATAATATTACCATTTTACAATATTACAGAGAACATAACATGAATATGCATGATATACGACTATATAGATATAGATAGTTACTTTATTAATACCGCAAGGCGACATTTTTTTCGCTACAGCAGCATTTATGGTACAAAGCAATAAAAAATAACGCAGTAAAAATGCTAAATATATAAAAATGCTAAATATATACAATAAAAATAACAGAGTAAAAATATTAAATATAAAAACTCACAATATTTACAATGAACTAAAAACAATAGTGCAAAGATTTAACCAAACCAAACAAACAAACAACCAACACTACGTAAAATATTGTATATATATACACTGTTGTATTGCTAACTTCATTTAAGTAAACATCTGAGACGTACTTCTTCCATCTCTGCTCAACCTGTATGAACGGAGCCACATATTTTTTTATCGCATTTATTGTGAAACTCCGGTTCCGGATGTGTGTTAGCGCCACTGTGGCTAATTGTGCTAACAGCGATACGCTCTCATTCACTCCACAGTCAGGACTCCCGTTGGAGTAACTGGAGGCAAACGGCTGCTCCTCTCGTCGTTAAAAGAAGAAGAAGAAGAAAACTACGCAAGAAAAACAATGTGAATTCTCTCGGATACGCGGCAGGAAACAACGACTTTTTGTGGTGGATTTAAATCAGACACGAGCCGTATCGATTTTTATTTTTGTGGGCCAAATACGTGTTTTGGAATCACACACACACACACACGCGCGCGTGCACACACAGGTTGCTAGCGGAGTTGACGCTAACCTAGCTAGCCAAGTTAGCTAGCTGCGGTTAGCTGTGTTTTTCCTTTTTGTTTTTCCTTTTTTTTTTAGCCGGGGCTAAAACGTAAAATACAAACAAAAGGGCGGACGTTTTTCCAGACAGGGTGCTGTATGGTTCGGGCATGATGTGGTGTTTTTTCGGACGTTGTTTGTCAAGTTGTCCGGCTGTGGTAGCTGGCTGAAAGCCTGACGTTAAGTTAAGGTTTCTCTCGACCTGGATTTAACTCCTGGAGGTTTTTCCATGTTGTTTTTTTTAAAGGTGGACTTTACCCTCAGGGTGTTATAACCCCCCCTCCTCCCTTAATTCAATAAAAGAAAGGCTCTATTGATTCTTACTTTTTGGAGTATTTAAAAACTTTGGCTGGAAGTTTTTTTTTTTTTTTTTTTTTTTTTTTGGAGGTAAAAAAAAGTTTTGGGGAAGTTTTTTCCGAGCTCGTGGAAAAATGGATGCGGGTATAGAGAAGGAATGCAGCGCCTTGGGAGGGCTCTTCCAACTCATCATGAACGACATGAAGGTAAATAAAATATAATTTAATTCACGTTTTACATTTGTAACATCTAGTTCTTTCCTTTGCATTTTATATTTTGGAGTTGGTCTGTTTTCTCTTAATATTTCTCTTTTTATTTTCTTCTGTGCTATTTCATCATCTTTCTTTCACAATGTAACTTTTTATTTCTTCTTTTGTTCTCTTGTAAAATACACATACTTACTTTACTTCCACCCATGAAGGCAACACCCAGCAGTTTTTAAACTACAAACATTGTTTACTTGAGTTTAATGAGTAGGTTTATGGCTGTTCCATTCATTCTGAATGGAGACATTTTTATCCCTGCATTGCTTCACTTTAACATTTTTACTTCCTTAAAAAATATAAAAGCCATGTTTGCATTTCTTCCTTTTTTACGATGGCTGTCGCAACCTTCTCGCGCAGGTTTGAGTCACAAAGTGCTCAGAACACAATGGTATTATAATGATAAAACTATGTGTAATTTTAGAATAAAGAGTCCCAGAAATTAATGAGTAAGCTTGAGATACTCGTAAAAAAATACAGGTTATTATTGTCTGTATTTAGAATGAGTGGATGTGACTGCTGCTGATGCTGATTGGGTAATGAATGAGCAGAGGTTAGAGCTGGAAGTGGGCCATCTGAGAGGGATTCTACCAGCTGTGTGCTCTTTGATGTTTGTGAAGCAGGCTGCCCTTTGCTGCCTGTCTGTCTGCCTGTCTATCTGTCTGTCTCACTGCTCTCAGATGTTCATCGTTAGCAGCCTCTTACTTCGGCCCTGAACACATCTTTTTTTGGTACCAAAGATAGGCAGGAAGAGGCTCTGGTGTTTGTGGAGTTGGGGTTTCCTCCAACAAAGCAAAGCTCACTCATGTAATTCTTCTTTTTTTGTTGACTAAGCGATTAGTGGATTTAATCGACAGATCTGTGAAGTTTCCCCTCAAAGAATCCCACAAAAGCACCACTTTCTTCTTTACCAGAGATGTGTTCATGAGTCATTCAGCATTCAAAAAGGCATAAAAAGAGACTACACACGACCGAGTTTACTGTCTTTTCACAAACATGTGGCATCCGTGCATGTATTTGATAAGCAACAACGAACTGCAGTCCAGTTGAGTCATGCCAGAAGAACGCTGGTAAACAAAAGATAATTAAATACATGAAGATGAATTAGTCACTTGTGATGAGCTAATTGTCAGCTCGTAGTATACTTCTGCCCACAAACTACTTCATTTAAAGTCTGTAACGGTTCCGTGAGATGTATTTCTACATGTTTTTGTAGTAGTTTTTAATACATTTACTGTTGCATGTACTTTTTCAGGTCACAGTTCTTGGTCACAGTTCTTCAATAGACACATTTAGAGGGTCCTTATGTTTCTGAGTTGTTGTTAATCAATAAGCTTGTTATGTTGAATGTTTTCCAGCTTCTCTGACGTGAACACTTTTCTCAGTCTGACGTGATAGAAACTGAATATCTTTAGCTGAACACACGCAGCGGTTTAAAGGTTCCGGGAAACTCTGATGTTCATTTTTCACTCTTTGATGTTTTACAGACCAAACAGTGAGACAGTTTGTTGGTTTACTCGGATGTCTCTTATTGGACAGCTTGTAATGCTGTTTGGCTTGTTGTCTGAAGTACTGCACACACTCTCAAAATACCACAAAAACACGCGTCGATACTCGTGAAACTACTTATGTGGTGTACTCCTTCCCCACGTGGAGTCAGATTTACTCAGTAAACCATTTTTATAATATGGTTAAAGTCTCCAAACCATCACCAATGTTCCTCAGTTATGTTCTTTTATTGTTTAACACATTCGGCCTCATGCAATAACGTATTCATATTGTTATCCTGAACTTCTCTTTTCCGTCAGACTAACGGGACAAACTCATGCTCGTTCATAAGCTTTGATCATTAGCATGCTTCAGACTAACGGCCTGCTGTTGGCAGTCAGCAGACAAGAAGATAATGACATTTAGCAGAGTCAGCAGTTAGCCGCCGCCGTCCCATGTCATGTTGCTTTTTTCATACGTCAGCGGACGACTTTGGTTAATCTCCACGTGTCTTTAGCCCCTCTGTGGAAACACAGACAACGGACTGAAGTAACCGTTTAGTCTCGGGACTAAAACTACCAGGAACTACTTTGGTGGAAATGTGGCTAATGTGTCATCAGAGCAGCGCTGTTCTGTTACAGTCTCAGACTACAGCTATAAAACATCTTTATTGAGGGGTCTGGTAAACACAATATTAATTTTGTAAATGTACACAGCAGTGTTTAGCTTTTTCATTTAACCCATCCCAGTGTTTGGAGCATTTTAGCATTAAGTTCTGCTTAGCTGTGCATTTGATTTCAGTTAAAGCTGCTACAAGGATCTTTCATTGTGTGTAGATTCTGTTGGTCCCTGTGGACTAAAGTGGTAGTGTTTCTGAGCACCAGAGTCCCTTTAGGAAACCTCTCATTCTACTGCAGCAGGGTTTGACAGTCTGCCACTCTCAGTCCTGGTTCTGGTTCTCCCGTGTCTCCCTTCCCTCCAGCGGGTCCAGCAAGGAGGAGGAGGAGGAGACGCTACTGCTGCCGGGAGCTGAGCTCTCCTCCTCCCTCCGGAGCTCCGGATCTGGGTCTGTCCACGGTGGACCGGTCTCTGCTGGAGGCCCTGCTGGAGGCCCTGCTGGAGTCTGAGCTGAAGGAGTTTCTGGTGAACCTGCAAGATTTCATCTGATTTCACCAGAATCCGACCCGATGGCGAGCATTAAGAATAACTCTATAGAAACAGACCATCTTCTCTCTGATGGTCTCTTTGCTGATGGAGGTCTTATAGAGGATCGGGACTAAACTGAGACTGGTTCATATAGAGGATCGGGACCAAACTGAGACTGGTTCATATAGAGGATCGGGACCAAACTGAGACTGGTTCAGGACCAGCTAAAAGTTCCTCACAGTAGCGTAAATTGAGGCAACCTTTCATTCATACCACAAATGCTCTTCAGTGTAACAGCAAATCTGTTTTGTCAGAGAGGTTCCACATTATGTGGAAATAAAAATGTTGACTTGTCGAACCACAGTTGATGATTCAGCGATCACACACATGAACATTGTGTAAGAGTGGAGCTCCAAATGAATCATGGAGTTCATAGCAGCCCTGCTGGGTGCACAGGCGCTTATTCTAGATTATATATATATATATATATATATATATATATATGAGTTCTCCATCCTACCGGAGAACGTTAGATCTCCGTGAGATGAAGAGTTTCAGGGCAACTTGAGGAAGTTCTCCTTTTCTTTGTGTGTTCTTGGACGTAACGTGATGGAACTTGCAGACTTCCTGCGAGGAGAACACATGAGTCACGTCCGCTGTCAGATAACAGGGAAGGCGTGTGTGTGAGTGTGAGAGATTCAGAGCTTGTGGCATCACATCCTGGTACTTTACCAACATGGCACAAGACCAACGGGGGCACTCCTTCCATCCGCCACACACACACGCATACATACACGCACACACACACGCACACACACAGTCATGTCTAATTAAGCAGAGGGTTGCTTTAGATGAATCTCTCCTCAGGGCCTCATAACACTGAAGAGCTCTGAATCCGTCCGTAGACGTGATGGTGAGACGATACACAGATAGCGCTCAGTTCAATGTCGCAAACAAACAGAACGAAAGCATGAAGATCGTTTCATTTATTTTGGACAGAAAGTAGTTGAGTGCCAAAGATGTGTTGCGCTGTATGAACACGGAGCAGACCTGAATATATGAAGTTCGGTTCCATGTGTTTCCTGTCACATTCTCTACAACGGTGGAGCAAACACACACACACTCACGCTTGTGAACCCTAATTCTGCATCACGTGTTTCAATCAACATACCATGTGGCTGCATGTGCACCGGTCTGTAGAATATGATGTGAAGGCCGGGGCGTCTCTGCAGCACCACAATATTTTATTTATTTTATTTTATTTTGACACACATTTCGCCTTCAACAAATATTGTGTCTCCTTTTGATTTCAAAAATCTCAGCAATAATAATAACTTTATTTATTTAAGAAGTGCTTCCAATAGATCCGGCTCTATGCATTAACATGAATACCTGAACCGCCCTAATAAACGAGCACTAAAGGTTATTTGGTTCGAGGAACACAGACTGTGGGGGTGCGGTTGAAGTGAAGCATCATGGGACCTTTAGCCAGACGGCTTATTGATTTCTGTCTCAGCGATATCAGGAGTGACATTATGAGCCATCGACCCTCCCTCACCCCTCTGACGCTCTCTCTGACTCATGGACGTCTTTCTCTCTCTTCTTCTCTCATTCGTTTCTTTTCTGTTCCTCCATTTCTAACTTTAGCGCCGCCTCCATGTTCGTGAGGATTTGACGAACTTTTGAGTTTTAAATTTATTCTCCTCGTTAACTCGACTTCAAAGGAAACGTCGCTCAAAACAACCGTCGACCCGCCCTCCTTCCTTCAGAGTGTGTTAAGTGTGTGCGTGTGTGTATTTTATCCGTCCTATACTGAAGGTGAACTGAGAATGACACGGCCTCAGTGTGTGTGTGTGTGGAATAGCAAATAGCTTTCAACACCGAGCTACAGCCGCGTTCAGTGTCTACACAGACGCATGCGTGCTTATATACAAAAACACACCCTGCAAATACAGGCTATAATTTGATGTGATGTCATCGAGGCTTAGTCCCAACAATGATCTACTTAATAGTTCCTAAGAGTGTGAGTGCGAGTGTGTGTGTGTGTGTGTGTGGGAGTGTGTGGGAGGGAAGTCTCACTGCTGACAGGAAAATAGTTAGCCTCAGGTGAATATGGGTGTGGACACACACACACACACACACGGTGAATTTGGTCGCTTTGCTGGTAAACTGACCAACAAACACATTATATAAATACACACACACGTTAAGGTATGTCGTTGTGTGTGTTCGCTGAGAGGAAAGAGGGGGAAGGAAAAAGGAAAGAAATAACAAGACAGAAGGAAGAACAGGACGAAGGAGGGAGGAAA